AGAAAGCAAAAGTGGCACCTCTCTTGGATACAATTGTGCAAAAGTGCAGAATGAAGCAAGATCATGTGATATATTGAAAATTATTAAAATAACATATCCCAAAGGGATAGCTATGCTGCCACAAAAAGAAATGTCCTGCTGCTCAAAGGCTTAAGAAAGATAGCACAATAAAGGGAGTGATATATATTATCAGTTCTCATTTCTCCATATATATATTTTTTACCCTAATCCAAAAAAACAAGTGAGAGAAAAGGAAAAACGAAGTCCTGGGGTGTTGAACGGTGAGACCTAGCAATTTTATTTCAGAATAGCTTCTGAGCAGAAGCAATCTGTTTCTGCAACAGTACCATTACACTTTCACAGATCTCAAGCAGGACACTGCTTCTTCTCTTATCCTTCTAATAGTTACTTCAATTCATAAAATGTGCCAGGCTCCATGTGATATTAATGAAAAAGTCTCATCAATATATCCTCACAGAAAACCTTTTAAAACCAAGGGTTCCACTTCCATTTTTTCTTAAAAATAAATTCTCTTATCTTTTAAGATCATAAAACAAGGAACATTGCAAACATCTTCATCATCATCGGTCAGAAATACTTCAATTTATACTCCTGCACTAAGCAGAAACTGGTCATTCCTAAATCTATATTTCTATGATTTTATCTCTTCTTTTCCTTTTTTTTTTTAATTTCCTAGCATCTTCTCCCAGATGCAGGGTCTACTTATTTTTCAGAGGTTGTGACAAAAATTGACTCACTGGCTTGTTACCGAAGCCCGATGTCATGGGCTGAGAGACAGTGAGTGGCCCAAAGTCACCCATGTAGCTTTGATGCCTAAGGCAGGACCAAAACTCTTAGCTTCTTGGTTTCTAGGCTGGTGTCTTCACTACTAGATCAAATTGGCTCTTCTCTCATACTCATTGCTGGCAGCTGTAATTTCATTATGCACCAATCTCTTGCACATTACCTTCACACTTTGTTAAAATGTGGCCATATCTAATATTACCATAATTCTAAACATAATAGTAGTAACAATAGCAACAACATCTAACATTTGTATACTGCTTTTGTTCCTTGCGTTGGGCATGATTTATTTAGTTGAATTCCATATAATACAATAAATCAGAATTATTATCCATCACAGAGCATATTCCATCACTATTATGCTTCAGTTTATATTTATTAAGTATAAAACTGTTGTTCTGAACAGAGAAACGTTTGCAGAAATACATGTATGTATATGTCTAAGAAACATACTATCCAAATGTTGATGATATGGAAACAAAAAAGACAAGGAAGGAAGGGAGAAAGTTTCATAGGAACAACCTGTTTGGGTAGCTGAAAAATCTAAATTTTACAATGAAATACATGCCCACTCCATTATTATTAATTTCAATCTTAAGATGTATATGATGACTGGTATCAGAAAGGATGCTAATTACTTTGAACAAAATAATATCACCAATCAAATTATGTGGAATTAAAAAGACAACATTCAGTGCTAGAGCCACCTTCAGTTATGCCTTTAAACATGTGGGATTTTGTTTTTCTGCCTGATGAAAAATGATGCTTCTTGCATGCGCCTAAACATGAATCTCAAATCTAATGGATAAATAGGCATTCCAAAGTTTGAAGGAATAATAAGAAATGGTAATAGTCAAGGAGTTTAAGGGACAGAGGAAAGTGTCACAGTCTAGAAAAGAATAAAATTAAGCACAAGGGAGAAATACATTTGGTTCAAATTGCAAGAGAGAAAGAAAGAAAGAAAGAAAGAAAGAAAGAAAGAAAGAAAGAAAGAAAGAAAGAAAGAAAGAAAGAAAGAAAGAAAGAAAGAAAGAAAAAGGAAGGAAGGAAGGAAGGAAGGAAGGAAGGAAGGAAGGAAGGCTAGATTTCACCTGGGATAATTTCGATGGGTAATATTAAAATTTGATTGATATAATATATGCCTATTTACCTAGCCACTTTGTTCTGGTGGTTCACCATTTCCATTATTATCTGGTCCTCAAGGACAATTCTAGAGATTCTTGAATTATATGACAACCATTCTCTGCCATGAGCAACTAATTGCTCATTCCAGTAAGACAAAGCTGAACTGTGGATAGCAGGTTATATTGGCAAATGAGCAGGCAAGGATTTACAAGTATTTGGGGCTCAGGACTCCATAGAAATAATTGTGCAGTAAATATGGACCAGACTTTTTCCCCACTTTGCTGACAGGTGGAAAATCAAAGGATTATTCAGAAAGAATATTGGCTTCCTTTCTTTTCTTGTACGCAAATATTGACATCACAATAATACCACATGCACTTTAAAGAGAGAGAGAGCATGCAGATGTGAAATCTTTTATGAGAGGTTGCATTAAATGAGGAAAAAATGGAAATAAAAGTATCTACAAGCTCAGCAGGCTCCTGGCAGAATAAAGGGGAAAGAGAATGAGTTTTTAGTTTTGATTATGCTCTATTGTCCAATCAACACATATATTACTAGACTCATGCAGATCTATTTTAACTGCAGAGCACAATTAGCATAGATTGGTGTATGAAATAAAAATATTCCTATTTCTGCTCCTGAAGTTGAAAATACATTACAAAACGTATTACAAAAGAGCATCCTTCATACATAATGAAGTAGAAAAATCTTATAAGGTTGATACAAAATTAGTTTTTAACTTACACAGTATATGCATTACTTTTAAAATATTCTTTCCTATGATTTGGTTGACAATGTCATCTTCTGGCTCTATTAAACGTTCCACTTAAATTAGAGTCTAAAATGCAGTTTTCTAAAAATAACATTTACCTCTAAAGTTAAAATGGGGGGGGGGGAAGGATATGAATAGCTTTTCCTGAGTGTTAAACACCCTGTGCTGGGTTATAATAGCACAATTCCTTTACTAAGTTGTCTTTGCAAATGTTATTGAGAGGAGACACCACTTTTCAGTGATGTACAATAGGTAATTATCTTATGAACTAAGTGCACTTAAATATTTATTTTCAATCATTATACCTATAGCTAGCTCATCTAAACATCAACCTCTAAACTCCCTGATATTGATAGGTGAGGACTACGGTTTACTATTCTTCCAGAGAAGCCATTTCAGCACTGGGAGCTGCGGACAGCAAACAATCTTAACTATTCTGCCAAAGCATATTAACAGCCATTATAATCCATTACCTTATACAGAACAGACCTTGAATGATGGTCACAAATCACATGGGTTTTGTACTGCATTTCATTAGCATGGATTAGCTCCACTTGCCACCATGCATGCAAATATATATAATGAGGGGGAAACCAAGTGAAGAAAATTGATGCCTTGAACCAATACTTTTTCATTCTTTCCTCTCAAATTGCATATACTAATACAGGAGAATATTTGTAGCTCAGGGTTGACATGAGGGGTCATTGGTGCTCTCTGGACTTGCTTGTTTTCTTGCAAATGTTTCACTACCCAAACTAGATAATGTTGTCAGTGCTAGCACTGATGATGTTACCGTACTTAGTTTGGGTAATGAAATGTCTGCAAGAAAACAAGCAAGCTCAGAGAGCACCAAGGCCTTCTCAAATTGCATATACATTAGCATGTATGACCAATAAACGTATGGGACTGAGATATTGTTTATACACAAAATCCAAGTATGTATTCCAAAGTGCAATTTTAATGATGGTTATATTTGGCAACAGCTGCTACTCCATCCAAATTAGACAAGACAAGATACAAACAATACACTGAAATTTTCTTCTGAGATTGTGTCCTAAAAGTATAGCTAACCTCCAGATGTACTATCGGCACAAGAAAATATTTCCTCATCTCTTTCCTTCACACCTCAGAGCTCCAAAATGCTCCCTCCCATAACTAGTACAATAAAATTACTTCCTATGATGAAGTACACAATTGTGTTTACAGCCATTTCATGCATAACAGACACAGTGTAGAGGCACAGCACACATATCTTAATGAAAGGAAACCAGAAGTGCAATAATAAATCCTGCTTTTCAAATCTAAGGATCCTACAGTCAGGCTTTTCAGAGGGCAGTGTTGGATTGAAAACTCCTGGCAAAGTCCACCCAGAGGGGGCAAACCAGAGCTTCTGGGTGAAATGCACATTACAGTAAATGGGGGCTTTACCCCCCCCACTCATGCCATATTGGCGGGGAGGGGGGTGTTGAAGCGGTCCAATTCTTGCCTCCTCCCCCCTCCCCTGTCCATTTCTGCGTCAGAAGCAGGTGCCCAGGTAGCAAGGCTGACATTTTCCCAAGGAGAAGGACTCCCTGAACAACCGCCCCATAAAGGCCTCCCCCCCTCTCTGACAACCACCCACCCTTCCCTTGGCTACTAGACAAGGCTACTCCTCGGTTTTTCTGCGTAGAGCCATCTGCCATCCCCGCCCCGCATCCAACCCTTTCTCTAGCTACCCCACCCGCCTTGAACCCTTCTGGAGAGGGCCCCCCAGCCCCTCCCCTGCCTTGCGCCCATCCTAGGGTAGTGCTCGGGTGGGATTAAAGACCCTCCGGTCTCCTCCTCCTCCCCCCTCCTCCTCTGACGCCGCTCCTAAGTGTTCTCCAAACAGCCCCCCCCGCTATTATTTAGATCAGGGGTAGTCAACCTTGGCTCTTTTATGACTCGTGGACTTCAATTCCCAGAATTCCTGAGCCAGCTTAGCTGGCTCAGGAATTCTGGGAATTGAAGTCCACGAGTCATAAAAGAGCCAAGGTTGACTACCCCTGATTTAGATCCATACGAGCCGCCGCCCCTCCCCTCCCCGCGGGGAAAGCAACAGCAAAACGCCGCGCAACACCTCTCGGATCTTCTCTGTCCTCGCTCCACCTAGCCTTTGCAGCTTCGCTGCCGCTCCAGGACCCCCCCGAGGAAGCGTCCCGAGGCGCGCCCCCCCCCACACACACACAGGGTCCCCGAGCCACCCCATCCAAGCGCACTTGTCAAGAAAACACCGGGCGAGACCCAGCCGAACGGGCTGAGCCCAGGGCGGGGAACTCACCGAACATCTGAATGTGGCCTTTGGTGATGGGGTTGAAGCTGCCGCAGGCCAGCAAGATAACGTGGGTTTTGGTGGTTTCGGTCATGGTGGCGTCGGCTTGGTTCGGCGCTTCCCTCGGAATTCCGCTCGCGCGGCGCGGCCTCTCCTCTCCTTTTTGTGTGTGTGTGTGTCTCAATGTGTCTGCAGAGGCAGGGGAGGCGAAGAGCTCCCAGACGCAAGCAGCGTCATTCCCCCCCCCCCGCAAGCGCTCAATTTTAACGCCTTCAGCGCCAGCCGGAGTTTACTTAACTCTGGGACCCCTCCCGGGCACCTCAGCTCTTCAGGCAGAGCTAAAGTGGGTGGTGGAATTTGCACACACACACACACATACACACACACACACGCACGGATATTGGGATCATCCGTGGTACTTTATTTGTTTTGCCAGGAAAGAAGATGAATATGTACTTAGCTCCCGTATTCTGGTGGAGATAATCCACAATAATGACTTACAATACACGCTGGTCTTGTCTTCACACTCAATAAAGCAGATTATGTTTCCCATTTTTATCCTCTTATTTGAACGGAAGTATAACGGGTCTTAGAATCTCAATAATACGGAAGTATTACAGTCTTAGAATCTCAATCCTGCAGCTTTTCTGTCAAATCCATGTAGTGCTACACGGAAGGAAGGAAGGAAGGAAGGAAGGAAGGAGCAGTTTAAATCCTGTTTCATTCATGATGGTATCCCTAAGGCCACCTCCAGTGAGGATGAGCCAAATCCCAGGCACAGTGCTGCATTTTGTACCTTGCAGCATCTCATCTTAAAAGAGCAAATAGAGGTCTGAGACATCACACACAAGCAAGGCCAGATGACAAAGAAAAACAAACCCCACCAAGGGAAGAGATCTAAATATGATTCTGATGTTAAACTATATCAAATACATTGATATACCACCATCAATAATTTTTCTCATTATATTTATCTGCTGACCTGATGAATTTAGGTTGACTACTGCAATGGTTATAGTATTTCAATTCTAAATTTAATAATCTGCAACTACTATTGTCTCCTTTTAGTCTGTGCTAGAGGACAAGTAGGCTAGCTTCTATGGAGTTTTCTTTTGTCAGAATTAACCAGGCTTACCTTTGCTTAGTTTCAGCAAGGTATGGTAGCCCAGGTAAGGTTAACTGGCTATTGTCTCCTATTGAGAATTTGATATATTTGTATGTGTGATTGGCGTGTTTTGATTATGTGCCATCAGGTTGCTGCTGACTCATAAGGGCCACCTAAGTAGACCTTCTTCATGATCTGTCCCCAGCCTGGCCATTGAGTTCTCCCAAAAGGGCACTTGTATTTATTATAATTGAGTCCATCCACCTTGCTGCTGGTAGCCCTCTTTTTCTCTTCCTGCTTTTCCCAGCATTATAGACTTATCAAGAAAACTAGATCTGTGCAAAATGTGTCTAAAATATAATAAATTGAGCCTGGACATTTATGTCTCAAGTGAGAACTCTGGACTGATTTGTTCTACAATCCATCTCTTTGTTTTCCTGGATNGGAAAACTATTGCCTGCAGAAATCTGATGTATTTTTATTCCTTCCAGGGGATCTTCCAAAATTATTATCAAATCATCAGCAAACACCTGTCATTTATATGTTTCTTTTTAAATCCTCACTCCAGCAATTCTCTAATCTTGTCTTATTCCTCTATTCAGTACTTCCAAAGCTAAAATAAATAGCAATAGTGATAAGGCACATCCTTGTCTTGTCCCCTTCTATATTTCACAAGGTTTTGTTAAGTCTCCATTCACAACCATATGTTGCCTCTTGTGAAGAAGTATAAATCAGTTTTACCCATTTAATAAATTCTCACCAAAATCCATGTCCTGCAAAATTTTAAACAAGAGAGTCCAGTTCAGATTGTCAAAGGCCTTTTCTGCATCAAGAAAAATCAGTGCTGTTTGTTTATTATGTTATTTTATAATATTCCAAAATGTCCAATACATTTCTAATATTGTCCCTCAGCTGTTTTTAGGGAAAAACCCACACTGATTTTCATGAATAAAGTCCTGTAAGACCATTGTCATTGACTAAACTCATCATAAATAACTTCTAACCATTATTCTGTAATAATATCAGATGATAATTTTTTTAGTAAAGTCTTGACCCTCTTTAGATATAAATGCTAGATTAACTTCCATCCAACCATCCAGTATCTTTTCAGTCTATAGCAGGGATCTTCAAACTTGGTCCTTTTATGACTTGTGGACTTCAACTCCCAGAATTCCTTAGCCAGCTGGCTGAGGAATTCTGGGAGTTGAAGTCCACAAGTCATAAAAGGACCAAGTTTGAAGACCCCTGGTCTATAGAATAGAGTTCATCATTTTTTTGCAGAATTTGTAATAATTCATCTTCAAATGTTTATAATAAGAGGCTGGTAAATTATCAGGTCCAGGCACTTTTCCTATTCATTTATCTTTTGAATTCTTAGTAGACTGACCTCTTCCATTCTGTCATTCTCCAGACCAATGGACATAGTTTAGTTACAACCTTTACTGAATCGTCTTTGATTACTCCCCACAGTTCTGTAGCTTTCTCATTGGAGTGATGAATCTAGTTTCATCTAATCTCCATCTCTGAGGTTTTACAGACGTCATTGTAATACTGTGGGGTTTTTTTTAAATTAGTATCTCTCTAACTTACTTTGTTAAGTTTCTTCCTAAGATCTTTGTCATTTTCTTAGCTTTGGCTTTGCTTTTCTTGGCAATTTTTATCATCTCTTCTGACATTCATTTTAGTTTCTTCTGTTTCTTGTCTGTAGCAGTCTCTTTTTGTATTCATCCTTGACCATGTCTTTGATCTCATTTCACGGTTCTTCTGATTCCATATAAATGATGTTCAGGACTTTAAAGTGATTCCTGATGCATACACTCACAATCATATCATGAAAATCAGTTGCCTTTATTCTTCTCATTTAGTTTGACTTAGAACTGATATATGAAAACTGATTTATGATCTGCTCTATAACCCACCTTTGCTGTTATAACAGAGTATTTTTATTTTCATGTATCAACAATATTGTCAATTTGATTTCTGTGTATTCCTTCTAGTAATATCTTTGTACATTGACATCATTTTGTTTATCTGAAGACTATGTTAGCACTCAAAAACACATTCTGTCAATTTCAGATTTAACATGAACTATGAAGCTAGTATTCTTTCTCTTCTTCAGCAATGGTTAGAGCATAAACTTGAATAACTGTCATATTAAAGGGTTGTCTTCAAAATCCAACTGATATTATTCAATCCTTGATTGCATTATACCCAAACACTGTCTTTGCAGTTGCCTTCCTGATTAAGAAAACAACACTGTTCCTTTTTTTCTGTTTGTGCATGCATACATATGTGTATATTCTGCATTGTGTTCTTCTAGATGAAAATGTAAAATTCTAGTTTATTTCAATTCATTGATGCCTAATATCTCAATGTGTAGTTTATTCATTTCATCTTCCACTGTGTTACGTTTTCCCATATTCATGTTTCTAATGTTCCATGTTTCTATTACAATTCATCTTTGCAGCTTAGAATTTTCATTTTTTGGATGGCAGCATTAGCAATTAGACATCCCAGAGGCATTTATCTAGCCACATCATGAACACTATTAGTACTATGAAATATCCTAGACCAGTGATGGCGAACCTTTTAGAGACCGAGTGCCCAAACTGCAACCCAAAACCCACTTATGTATCATTGGGTGCAGGGTGGGCGTGGCCCATTGGGTGGGTGTGGCCCATTGGGTGGGCGTGGCTGCTGTGGTAACGGCAGACTGGGTGGGACTAAAAAGTTCAATCAATCAATTCCAACTTTGCGAGATCCTTTTTTTCCCCGCAAGAAGTTGAAATTGATTGATTGAACCTTTTTTTTTTTTGCGCACAGCGGTGGAGGCCTAAAGCAAAAAGGTTTTATAAAACCCAGCTGAAGGCCTAGGACTGGGGCAACGGCGCGCGTGCCCACAGAGAGGGCTCTGCATGCCACCTGTGGCACGCATACCATAGGTTCGCCACCACGGTCCTAGACCTTCCTCAGTAGCATCTGCTTAAAGAGGCCCATCATTTGGGACTATATCATCAATCACTTTATTTTGTCTGTTAATGTGATTTCCTTGGTAAAATATGGGAGTGATTTACCTATGTCTTCTACTGCAACTTATGAACTTATTCCCTTGCTCTTGTTACTAATCATAAGCCTTTGGCATCTTACTAAATCACTTCTGTCCAATATAGATGCTTGCTTTCGCTGGGCAACTATGACGACTTTCACATTTTGTGTGACATCGCTGCAGGTATATACTCTTTTGCCATTCTTCACTCATTCCTGTCAGATATACCTCCTCCCAATAAAGCAGCATAGCAGAAATGATTGATTGATTGATTGATTGATTGATTGATTGATTAGGTGCCATCAAGTCAGTGTTGACTTTTAGTAACCACCTAGGTAGATTTAAGGGAGATATATGTAGTCCAAATATTGATGTCTGGTATTTTGCTTTTATACACACACACACACACACACACACACACATATATATATATATATACATACACATATACACATATACACACCTATATATATTTTTACACACATTCTGATGGCACCAATCAAATAATGGATTGATATTTCCCTTCTCCAAGTCTAGAAAGCTTTTGTATGCTTTTTCAGAATAAAATTTCAGAAGCAAAAGGAAGAATGTAGAAACCAATGAAAAGCTCTCATTCTTGTCATTTCACCCCATCACTGTCACAGTAGTTATTATTTATTTAATGTATACGCCGCCTTCTAGTGGCATACATATAAACATAATACATGTGCATATGTACAAAATATTTCTGCTTTCTGGTTGATCAGCCATAATCCACAGGGGAATATAATGATTTGGAATGCAGATCTCTCTTTAATATCCATTACTTAGTCTAAACAAGAATTTATTGTATCGTAAAAGTAATTTAAAATGATAATGCAAGATGTCGCTCCTCTTATATTGGCACTGCTGGCTTTTTCTTTTTATTGCATTTTCATTTTTGTTTTCAGTCTGAGTGCTTTTC